CTCATGGTGGAAGCGTGAGGCGTTGGGCCAGGCTGCAGAGTGGCTCAAGCTGGACACCTTGACTCCCCCCGCCACCCTCATACCCCACGCTGCACTGTCTGGTTTAACTTCAAGGAGGGCTGGTGCTTTTGATCCCTGAGCCAGTGGGGAGTGTGTCAGGAACCGCGGGCAGCGATGCCAGTTCTGGCCTGACTTCTAAGCCTCCTGTGCTCTTGGAAGGGGCCCAAGCTGTGCCATCTGGGATTTCCCCAGGCACCTCTGGGCAAGGGCTGAGACCGTCCATCGCTGAATTTCTGAAGCTGAGCAGCCCAGGGATGAAAGCCACTCCATCTGCCCCCTGGGGGGACCCAGTGCAGTGGACGAGTTAGATGAACCACAGAGGCAGCGCTGTGCAGCGGCCACCGGCACTGCCGCGAGTCAATCTGGGCTGCTCGGGGACTGGATGACCTTGTGTGAGTGGTGTCAGCTCTCCAGGCTTGTTCCTCATCCGTCCCCAGGGGATTGTGAGAGCTGAGGTCATGTCCCTAGGGTGCCGGGCACACAGTCGTCAGAGTTACTGCCAAATTCACTACCGTGGTACGTGCTAGCCAAGGCAGGTGGGAGCGCTTCTGGAGAGGAGGCTGAGCCACCACCTTGTGAAAGGTGAGAGGCACATCCGGGGAAGCTTCAAGAAGAGGTGACCTGCGAACGGGGCTCTGAAAGAGTCTGCCTGCTGGAGAGGTGGAGGAAAGGGAAGGCGCAGGCAGAGGGTGTGTTTGGAGAAAGCGAGGAGTTCAGTGAGTGCTAAGGCCAGTGAGTGGCAAGATTGCAAGGATTCACTGAGGCGAGAGTCTAGGAGGCCTTGCGCATCAGGCTCGGGAGGGTGATGGGGAGCCATGGGAGGTTCTTGAGCAGGAGAGAGGCATCAGGAGAGCGTGTTTCAGGCAGATTAGCCTGGCAGTGGCAAAACAGCTCGGAGGCAGGAAAAGCCTCCAGCCTGAGGTTTTGTGTCTCAGCTCTGCTCTTTTCCAGCTGGTGACCTTGGGCCAATCTGTTTCCCTTTTGTGTCTTGGTTTCCTTATTTGTAAATCGGGCTTATAATAGAGCCGTGAGGATTAAATGAGATAACACTTGGAAAATGTTCAAATTGTGTTGGGCACACAGCAAATGCCTGGTTATCCTGTGGGGCTGATTGGCAGGGCAGAGACCAGAGCTGGGGGATACAAAGGGTGCTGGGTCAGGATCCTGGGGAGAGACACTGAAGATGGGCTGAGAGGCCTCAGGGGAGGGAGGAGAGCCATGGGCAGAGACAGGCCGTACTTCGCAGAGGAGAGTGCTGGCCTTGGAGTCCAGCAGGCCTGGTGTGAGTCTCTGCGCCAGTACTTCCTAGCTGTGCAGCCTGGGAGAGGCCCCTGGTTTCTCCGTGTCTCAGCTTTCCTTATCTGTAAAATGGGTCTGCTGACCTCCACTGCTCAGGGCCTTGTTGAGGAGGCAGCAGGGGCACCAGACTCCTGAGAGACACCGTTAAGTGCACTTTGAGCCTGAAACTGGCAGGAAGGGCAGAGGGAGCAGAGGATGGGGCTCGAAGGAGAGAGCACACGACAGGAAAAGGGGAAAGGCGAGGGGGATGGGGGATGTTCTCTGGTAATTAGAACGTTTGAACTTCAAAAAAGTTAATTAATGATGAAGCTGCTGCTGGAGCCAGGCTCAGGCTCAAAGGGGGCCCTGGCAGCGACTGAAATTAATTACAGGCTATGGTGGGAGAGTGGCAGTGGGGTGAGGGGACAGGAAGGAGTAGGGCTGGGGCCGGGAGGAGCTGAGGAGAGGCCACGAGAAGGCAGCATCCCAAAGTGGGCAGGGCTGGGGATGGGAGGGAGGCTGTTGCCGTGGAAACCAGGTCACCTCTCCCACTCCTCTCTGGGTGGGGTCCCGCTGAGGGTTTGGCTGCTGGTGTGGCTACATCCCAGTTAAGGGCAAGGGCTTTGAAATGGAGGGGTGAGAGGTTTGCTTGGAGACACTCCCGAGTTCCTGGGTGTTGGAGTGGGCAGGGCCCATAGAGATTTACAGCAGCACCCCCGCTTACCCACAGGGGACACATTCCAAGACCCCCAGTGGATGCCCGAAGTCACAAATAGCACTGAACCCTGTATTTACTATGTTTTTTTCCTATACCTGCATACCTGGATAAAGTTTAATTTATAAATCAAAAATTAAAAATTAAAATTATAAATTAAATTATAAATTAAAAATACAAAAATTAGTCCGGGCATGGTGGCTCACACTTATCCCAGCACTTTGGGAGACCAAGGCAGGTGGATCACCTGAGGTCAGGAGTTCAAGACCAACATGGTGAAAACCTGTCTCTTCTAAAAATACAAAAAAATTAGCTGGGCATGGTGGCGGGCACCTGTAATCCCAGCTACTCGGGAGGCTGAGGCAGGAGAACTGCTTGAACCCAGGAGGCGGAGGTTGCCATGAACCCGTATCGCACCACTGCACTCCAGCCTGGGCAATGAGAGTGACACTCCATCTCAAAAAAAAAAAAAAAGAAAGAAATACAAATACAAATTCAAAAGCTAGCCAGGCGTAGTGGGCACACACCTGTAGTCCCAGCTACTTGGGTGGCAGGAGAATAGCTTGAACCCGGGAGGTAGAGAGGTTGCAGTGAGCTAAGATCGCACCACTGTACTCCAGTCTGGGTGACAGAGCGAGACTCAGTCTCAAAAAAAAGAACGTCTGTGATTACCCAGTCCAGAGGTGTGTGCCAATTGTTTCAGCTACTCAGCAGGCTGAGGTGGGAGGATATCTTGAGCCCAGGAGTTCGAGATCAGTCTGGGCAACATAGCAAGAGCCCATCTCTTTAAAACATTTTTTAAAAAAAAGAATTTCTGTGATCATTAACAGTATTAATAAAGATACCAGTAACATCAGTAACTTAGCACTTTGGCTAGAGGGTGAGAAGGAGAGGCTGGGTTAGGACTTATTGTATCCTGGGCTGAGTACGGTGGCTCTTGCCTGTGATCTCAGCACTTTGGGAGACCGAGGTCAGTGGATTGCTTGAGCTCAGAAGGT